CCCTGTCCCACTTCTCTTTGTGTTCACCAACACACTTCCCAGTACTCTCTGCCTGCTTCGCTCGCTCTGCCCTCAACTTTTGCATAATCTATCTGCTTCCCTATTATTCATTCCATTACCTCTCTCTCTCTCCTCAGCTTCCATCTCTATATCCCTCTCCCTGGTAACAGAATGTGTTATATCCTGACGACCACCCCAGAATACCTTTGTAAACAAACAAATTGCGGAGGGGAATTGGCTTGTGTTGTTGTGCAGCTTCCAAACAAATGCCTCTCTGTGCATGAACCAGGAAATATTATTCAAGCTAAAGTAATGCGATTCATCCTCTGATATGTTTCAGATTCGCTCAGCGCCACAAAAGACCACTTGTATGGCTCTAATGAGGAGCTTTAAAGTTGATATCTTTCTTCTTTTCATGAGAATAGTTTTGCAGCGTTAAGCCAATTATCAACCTGCCTGACCATCTATCAATCAGGATTGAAGAACCCTGTGCCAAAATAGCTCACGTTACAGTAACCAAAGAACTTACATCAGCAAGAGCATCCTTGCTTAGAATTACTCCTTGATCTGCCTGCACATTCTTTGCATAATACGTCAAACCAAATCCACAAACCCAGGGTTCGCTGTTCGGCCCGTTTCACTTCTGCATCCAAAGCAGGCCAGTCAGTACAGTCATCCAATCACATGGCTCCTTTTATCAATGTCATGCTGACGATGCTGCGCTTACTGACTTAACTAACCTTTCAAGACCCTTGAGATAAGATCTAGCAAACCTCCAAGGATTTGACAAGTCCATGTTCTTACCAAAATGCTTTAGGGAAAAGAAGCATCTCCAAAGCACAATCTGAATTCACAAATTTTTATATATTTGAAATCTCCTGAAAACATGTCTGGGTTACATCTGACCTCAAAATAGAAATGAGAAGTTACAATTATATTCCCCATATTTGAGGAATTACATTTTTTTTTTTTTAAAGTGTGGCATTATTTTCATTATTTTAATTTCACTTAAATTTAGCTTTAATTGTGTGTTCATTTATTTTTAATACATACACCTTTCACTGCAATATGATCTTTAATTAGAATTAATTTAATTAGAATTATTTAAATGATGCCGTTTTTTTTACTAATTTAAATATGATGTAATTATTTAATAATATAAAATAATAAAACATTATATAGGATAAAATAAAATATATAACAATGTAATAAAATATAATGTGTCACAATAAATAAATAAATAACCTAAAATAGGCTTCTTGTTTATTTAATTTGATTCTGGGTGTAATTTTGGCCTAAAATTAAGTGAATCTGGAGTTTGAGAACTTGCGAACCGAGAGCATTTACTGAGAAAGGTGTAGCAGAGGACAGCAGAATAAATCCTCTTAAAAGAAGCTGATTTACAATGAGTAAACTCCGTAAATCCCCTGTTAACACAACAGAATGTTACCCCACACACACACATATACATTTAAAGTGCAGACTACCCCCAGTTCTCTCTTTCTTTCATGTGGTTTCTTCACATCCTTCAAAAGACACCCAAATGACTCTGCAAACCGGCTGCAAATGTGTCATGCAGGTTATCCACAAAACCCTTTTAGTGCTGCAAGAATGCTTAACCAATCTAACCCAATGCACTGAGGTTGATGCTGACAAGCGCAACAGGTTTGTAACATGTTATTGGGAATTAAAGAATCGGTGGGTGAATCTCATATAGCGTGTCAAGAATAAAGAGAGATTCTATTTTAGGACCATTATAGATTTTTTTTGCACTGTAAAATTATTTTCATTGAAATTAAACACATTTAATTTCAATTCTAATTATCATAATGTGAAAAATATCATTATGATCACTGTAATGTGAAAACAATAACAGTATATCATTACATGGCATTTATAGATCATGATTGTTGTATTGTCTTTATGCTGACTGTAATAAATTATCATTGTATCTTACTAAAGCAGTGCATTGGCTTCGGTATTTAAATGTTGCATTTGCACTTGGAAAAGATAAAATATTCAATTAAATATTCATATTTCTATGTCTGGCCATATAATCATATTTTTCTATAATACATTCACTCTCTTGGGAGTAACGGTGTTTATAGTTGTTAACTGTAATTTTCTGGTATCTTTGATTGTGTTATTTAACTGTTTTTTTTATCTTATAATATTTAATAATTTTTTTATTTAATTTACTATTTCTATTGTTTAATTTAATTTAATTTAATTTAACTATAACTTTATTTTATGTTCTTAAGTTTATTGAGTTCTTTTTTTATATTTATTTGTAATGACTGTTAAATAAATTGTTAAACTAAATAAATACATTTCTTAGTCTGTTCTGGGTTTGTTTGGGATAAAGACTAAAATTGTATAAAGCATATTATATTATATTATTCAAATGATCTGCTTTTGTTTTCAGCAGAAGAAATAAACTCATACAGGTTTGAAACAACTCGAGGGTGAGTAAATGATGACAGAATTTTCATTTTTGGGGGAATTGTCCCTTTAAATATCAACAGCAAAATGATGCATTTAATGCATTTATGTAAGTCATTTTAAAATAGTCCTAAATACAGGTTTCATTTTCATGCAAAATAATTATTTGACTTATTTTCATTTGATTTTGAGGTGAAATATGACCCAAGCATATTCTTGACAGGTTTAGTTTATATTCACTCCATTAACCTTGATAAGGTAAACAAAGGTGGCACATTGTAGTGATAATGAGAACAAAGCTCTACTTCCTCTGATTATGGGCATTTCACATCATTACGGACACTTTTATCTCTTTGTGTGTACCTGTATGTGTCCCTCTCAATCACTTTCCTCTCTTTTTGTCTCTCTCAATCAGAAAAGAACACATTGACCCATTTAGCACAGACACCGAATTGTCAAGAGCGTTTTCTGCATTATTCACCACGGGCTTGGCTTATGTAATCTAGTCATGTGAGCGCCTCTACGTGTTCCTGTTGAGAAGCCGGAGTATCATCAAGTAGAATGCCTATGCTAATAGCAGGGCTGATTATGCAACGCGCCTATTCACAAAAGCACCCACGCAAAACACATACGTGAGCACAGAAACCAGCCCTGCCAGTCCGGGAAATCGAATTGCTCTACAATTGGAAAAGCCATCCCTTCTTTGACATTGACTGTCTCCGTTGCCGTGCATCACCCTTCCCGTCCATGCGCAACCGCGCATCGAGCCTAGCAATTTGCCAGGTTGCCATAGCAACCACACTGCACCCGCTAAACCCCTGGCTGGGTGTCTGCAGACAGTGACGTGTGGCCCTGCTCTGAACTGGACTTGCTCCAATTGACGATCTGAGCGCTCGCTTTGCCTTAGTGTCACTGAATAACATTATCAGACAATGCACTTTTTCTGTACACATAAAATATACAGATTACTACTTTTGCCAAAATGTGCAGTATTTTTTTAAGCTGGGTTATTTTTCTTAACTAAAAAAATAAAAAATAAAATAAAATAATACTTGAAATAAATAACTGAAATACAATATATTAAACCTTACGCTTTTTATTTTATTTTAGGTAGTTGACAAAACAACATTTCTCATTTTAGTTTAAATTTAATTTGATGTACTAAAATAACTAAACCTAAAACTGAAATAAACTATATAGACATTTAAAAAAAATCAAAATACTAAAAATGACAAAAACTATTTTTTACTAAATTACTGAAACAAAAATTACTAAACCTTTAACTTGAATGAAAATGAAAATGGAAAATACAAAATATAAAAACTACCATAGTATATCAATTATGCTAAAATAATTATGTTTACCAGAATGCAATGTGTTAAATGTGAACTTCCATTTTCAGTGATGAAAATATTGCAAATAAACATGCATTGCAACGTGAAACATGCATTTACCGCTTTGAAACAGTATGTATTGTCAAAAGCACTACACGAATAAACTTGAACTCGATTGAAAAACGATACAAGCCAAATATTTTTTGGTTCCAAAACTTTTACTTGACTTAAGTTATTATTTGATCAAACTGCCAAATATAAAGACGCTTTTAAAAACAAAACAAAATAAACATATCAAAAATTAAAAATCCCCATTTTTGTTTCCAATATGATATATAGCCAACAATAAATTACACATGCAGCTTCATGAGGTCATGTGACAAGCATAATTGAGGGCATGTGATACTATAGTACACTACTGTACTTACTAATAATGCCTACTTTAGTAAGTTTAACCTACTATAAATATATATTCATTAAAAAGAAAGTTTTTGAAAATAGCCTCTATGCACTCCTTCAGTTCCTCTCTCATTTTGTCTCTATCTGTGTCTCCAAGCTCTTTCTGTTTTCTTTAGTTTACCCACTGACTCCTCAGTGACCCGAGCTAACTGTCCCGCCTGCAGAGACCTTATTGGTGTTTTCTTATCTCAATTCAATGCATGCGCTCCTTTTCCCTCTTCCTGTTTTGCACCAAAGGAGGATGCCCTGCATTTCAAAGGAAAGGACACGGCTTTCCTATGCAGATATGAGATATGCAAAAACCCCACCTTGCATCAAAACACCAATTCAGATAATGGTTCTGCATATGCTTTAGTTCACGTGGTCATTCTGTTCTGGCTCAGCTGACACAAGTGCCACATCGTCTCTGTGTTTTTGTAGATCATTGTTTACTACAGTATCTGAATACACTGTGGCTTTGCACATGACATGAGAGTTTTAAAAGCAGAACAGAGGCTCAGCTCATGTAAGGCATAAAAACAACCCCTCAAAAACATAAAATTAAACAAAACTACTATAAAATAAAAATAAATAAATAAATGTATAAATATACTAATAAATATTATTTTAGATATTATATTGTAGATTAAAAGTAGAATATAAAATAATAACTATTAGATTATACATATTAATAACATAATATTAGAATAATAAGCTAAACTTATTCTTGTAATGTGTAAAACAGGAGTAACTCAAATGAAAGTGAGAAGTGAGAGCTCATCTCACCTGTATGACAGGGTTTCCTCCCTCCAGCAGAGCGATGGCCAGCAGGATGCTTTCCTGGAAGATTCGGTCACTTGTGGCATTCATGATGAGGTCAATGACCAGGTCAGACGCACCCTCTCTATCCAGATGACACTGCACTTCAGCCAGGCTCACCTCCCCTCGACTGCCTGCTGAACCCCCACCAGCTCCTGGAAATAAAGAAATATTTAATATAAATTATATATATACACACATATACACATAAATACGTATATATACACATATATACACACATACACACATATACATACATATATACAGTACACACACACATACACACACACATATGTACAGTATATATATATACAGTGGGTACGGAAAGTATTCAGACCCCCTTAAATTTTTCACTCTTTGTTATATTGCAGCCATTTGCTAAAATCATTTAAGTTAATTTTTTTTCCTCATTAATGTACACACAGCACCCCATATTGACAGAAAAACACAGAATTGTTGACATTTATGCAGATTTATTAAAAAAGAAAATCTGAAATATCACAAACATTTGAATATTTATTTTAATAATACTGTCAATATAATTTACAATATTAGTTTTTACTGTATTTTTGGTCAGATAAATGGTAGTTCTTTTATGAACATTAACAAATCTTACCAGAAACTGGAATATTGGCTTAATCAGGTCAATGCATTTATATGACATAAATGATAATATGACACTATTTTTATATTAGTCAGATGTGCATGTTAACACAATTACTGAAAACGTATTTAATTAAATACGGAACAAAATAATCAATTATAATTATTATAATTATGTCCAAATACAGGTTCATTTCTCATATAATTGCTGCCTTTTTTTCAGTTCATTAAATCATTGAATCAAATCCAACCAATTGATGACCAAATCTCAGATTGAATCATTCAGTAAAGAACTATAACTAAATCAAACTGTAATCAGTGTTAAAAACCTGAACAGGCCTTTTTGATGAGATGTGTCACCAATTTTGCATGAAATGGCAGTAAATAAAATCTAAATTGTGTATACGTGCAGCAGAAAATTACCTTTTTGTTAAGTTTGGGTCAAACTGACCAAACCTAATCTTCTTATCATCTGCAGTCGGTTTGTCTTAAAGACATTTGTGACCCTGGACCACAAAACCAGTCTTAAGGGTCAATTTTTCAAATTGAGATTTATACATCATATGAAAGCTGAATAAATAAGCTTTCCATTGTTGTATGGTTTGTTAGGTTAGGATAATATTTGAACGAAATACAACTATTTGAAAATCTGGAATCTGAGGGTGCAAAAAAAAAATCCAAATATTTTAAAGCCTTTAAAGTTGTCCAAATGAATTCTTAGCAATGCATGTTACTAATCAAAAATTAAGTTTTGATGTAATTACGGTAGGCAATTTACAAAATAGCTTCATGGAACATGATCTTTACTTAATATCCTAATTATTTTTGGCATAAAAGAAAAATCAATCATTTTGACGCATACAATTTTTTTTGGGCTATTGCTAAAAATATACCCAAGCGACTTAAGACTGGTTTTGTGGTCCAGGGTTACATTTCTGCTTTAACACACCTGCTAGACTTTTTTAAGCAGGTGTGTCTGGAGGCTATTCACACAGGAAGTGTGGGTGCCATGTTCTTGTCGCCTGGCAACAGCGATTGCTCGGAATATATAGGACACGTAGCATAGAGAAAAAAAGTGGTCGGGGAGGGAGTCATCTTCAGAATTACAAAATGAAGTTGGTTTCGATGTATAAAAAGGCCAGTTAGTACCATAAGAAACTTAAGGTGCTGCACAAACCTGTAGGAGTCTTGGTCTGCCCGCCGGGGGTGAGCGGCCCATTGCTGAAATTGGTCAAACTGTCTCGCCTGCCTCCCGGCTTGAAGTTGCCATAGTAACGGTTCACCAGAACTTGCCTCAACGCTTCACCCTGGCAACAGTGAAGGGTTCAGAGTCACGTGAGGGGCATTATGACATACCTCATCATCACCAAACATCAATGTGTCACCATGACCGACATCAAATGGTGAATTTGAAAAAGAAATCATTGAAAACACAGTTTTTGACACGAATGTGGTTGTTGATTTATTGATTGATTTTTGAGTTTCGATATTACATTATTGTTCTTTTTTAATGGAGAAACACACATATACTTCCACAGGTGGTCAATGAGAAACAAAGAATTTATGATAACATTTTAGTTGAAGAAATCATAGGGGGAAAAAACTGTAAATATCACATTTTGACACTGTAGTCTTCATCAGACAAAAGAAAAGCCTGATGAAGTTTGGGTCAAAACATTGCAGCAGTTTAATACAGTTTGAACATTAAAATCAGTTTTCCAACATTTAACTTGAAGCTTGTATATTGTTCAAGTTTGGGGTTAGTGATATTTTAATAGTTAATATTAATATGTTAATCCAGGAAGGGTGCCTTAAATTGGTCAAAATTGACAGTAAAGACAATGTTACAAAATATTTCTAATAAATTATTTTCTTTTGAACTTTCTATTCAGCAAAGAATACAAAAAGATATTTACCCACAAAAAAAAATAAAATAATCAGCACAACTTATTTCAACATTGATAATAATAAGAAATGTTTTTGGAGCAGCAAATCAGCATATTAGAATGATTTCTGAAGAATCATGTGACACTGAAGACTGGAGTAATGATGCTGAAAATTCAGCTTCGAATCACAGGAATAAATTACATTCTAAAATATATTAAAATGGAAAAATTATTTTAGTTTGTAATAATATTACACAACATTACAGCTTTTACTGTATTTTTTAAGCATACACTTTACTTTATTATTCTTTACTTTGCAAAGGTGTAACTATGAATAGGTTATGCAGTATGTTTTATAACTGTCTAAAGGTGTATTATATAATTATATTGAAAATTATGTATAAGTAATTATATTGAAATTCTCAATAACGTGTTACATGAACAGACTTCAAGTAATGTTACCCAATTCCTTTTCTTTGTGGGATGCTACTCAACTGCTCCTCAAGACCAATCCCTACCTCGTCCTGTTACGTTTGATTAGTACTGTCAGAAAGAGGTCAGAAAGGAAGACAGAATCTGATAACGCTAGATCCCTTTCATTAGTCGCATCTGACCTCAATAACACCAGCGGCCTCGGATACAAGACACCACACCAATTAAAACTAATCCTAATTCAGAGATTACACAGATAACCATAACTCGACTGCTCACTCGAAACATCCCAAACCCGAGTCCATGGAAACACACACACACACACACACAATATCAAGATGTTTATCACCTATAAACAGATCAATCACCACCATCAAACCTAAACAGAAACCTAAAACTAAAGAAAATAGTCATCCCGGTTTTTTAGGTGAAACCTCCACCCATTTGGAGCAGACAGGAGGGTTTGAAGGGTGAGTTTGAGAATGAGTGGCTCAAGCAGTGGCCAGGGGGTGCGTCACATGCCCCGTTTCTTTACCTACCCTTCTCTGATCCTCCAGTTGCTTCTGGGGCTGGTTTGGATCAAACTCCTGAGTGACGCGAGTTAGCAGAAAGCAAAAAGGAGGGAAGAAAAATTACAAGCATAAAAAAAGAAAGGGGTCAAGACTGAGAACATTAGTCACTATTTTGACATGCATGAAAAGTGGGGCATATTACATCATGCAGTTAAAGGAGAGGCATGGTGTGTGTATGTGAATGTGTGTGTGTGTGTGTGTGTGTGTGGGAGCAGACAGGCAGAGCAGAGTTACATGAGCTTTAGTTTATCCATAAAACCCTAAAACGATGATCCCTCAAAGGAAGTAGGAAAGGGGGTAAAAACAGGAAAACTAATAAATAATGCATTTCATAATATTTGTTTTTGAATCTCCTGCCCTTTAATAAATAACTCAACAGGAAGGTTGTTTGGCAGTGTCAAACTTCCCTAACCCATTCTACAGGCCATCTGTTTTGGGTCGGTCTGTATAGTTGTGCATCTACAGCGGCAATAGTGGGAATGAAACCATGCTAATTACATAAGCACCACACAGGGCGCCAAAGCTAGAAATGTAAGCCATGAGTGAGAGAAATGAGACAGAGAGAGAGAGAAAACTTTTCTCTAGATTATGTAATGGATCCTGTGTACTATTGACACACACTGCGGCCCATGCCCTCATCTGCCTTGGTAAAGCAGTAGATTTGCTTTTTGTCCTTTTTTCTCCCTGTCTGTCATATACACAGACATATTTGGGCACATGCAAAATGTACAACAGTGACAGGCCATTTTTCAGCAGCCTTGGTTTCAGAAGGTCTTTCCCTCGTTCAGTTTCTCCACAGAAAAATAAATAAATAAATCTGAGAAAAAGTCACAAAGTATAAGAGTGTATACATCTTTTATAAAGCAATAAACTACACATCCCATGAATCACTGCAAATGATAAACAGATATGAGAGTAGAATGTAAAAAATGTTGAAAAGATACATTGTTATTTTAAGTTATATTATTATTATTATTGAATTCAACATACTAATAATTACAATAAAATATTACAATACAATAAAGTGTAGGGAAGCTGATTTAATTGACCCTTCGCAAAGACCCACCCTCCTTAGTTACTGTTGCTATATCCGACAAGCCAAGGCACTCTCACGCCACACATCATGTTCTCATCCAGAGAAAAATACATCGCAGAGCAAACAGGACACTGACAACGCATTGACAGACAAGACAGAGCAGGTTATTTTGGTTTGAAACAAAGTCTCAGCTTTCAAATTTTTTCTTTTTTTTTTAAGAAATGTAAACAAAATAATTTTGTGGCACTTTAATGTGTCGTGACCAGTGTTGGGGAAAGTTACTTTTAAAAGTAATGCATTACAATATTGCGTTGCCCTAAAAAAAGTAACTAATTATGTTACTTAGTTACTCATCTGGGCTGGGCTTGCTTGTTTTTTTTATATATAAATATAAAAAGTTCTACTTTTGGCAAATGTAAAAAGCCCTTTCACACCAAAAGTTAAATGAATAAGCCTCAGACGGCACGAAATGTTAATTCACATCTGTACAGTAGAGGGTGCAGCTCAAACAAGCCTTTCAATTGTGCTGCCATTCTGCATTGAATTAAGAATATGATGCAGAAGAAGAAAGTTCAACACTCTTCAGCAATAAAAAAAACAAAAAAAACAGGAGTGCTGTCAATCAATAACTGGGAAAACAAATTAAACGGTGTTACTTATTTGGAAAAGTAACTCAGATATTTTCTTGTAAATTAAAAAGTAATGCGTTGCTTTACTAGTTACTTGAAAAAAGTAATCTGATTACGTAACTCAAGTTACTTATAATGTGTAGCGCCTCAGTTAAAGCGGCACATGAACCAATCATCTCTTCCTCTTTATTGGCTATAGCACAAAATAAACATGAATGAAAATCAGAAGGTATCTTGTTTCAACCATGGAAAGACATCAGTACAAAACGTTTTTCAAGTTCAAGTTCACCGACATTTATCTACTCTCCTGTCTGGTTTGTTTGTCGGACAAAATGGCCGATTCTGCATTATGATTGGTCAGATGGCCTGTCAATCAAACTCCTGGCGAAGGGTCGATTACATAACTTGCAGTGTTTCATGGGAGAGGCAGGTCACTGTGGAATTCTTTGAGCATGTTTTTCGTCGCCATAGTAACAGCATCCTCTCTGATTGGAAGATCCATAGAGGATCTTTCTTCAGAATTTCATCCAGAATTTGGTTAGTAAACACTGGTTTGGCTGAATTTGGTTAGTAAACTTTTATTTAAAAATAAAACTCAGAAAAAAAAGAAAAAAAAGGCTAAAACAATCTGAAATCACACTAACTGCGACTTCTGCAGAAGCATATATCTCTGAGCTCATGGTATGCTTGTTTTGAGAAATTACCTGATAACACATGACCTTTCAGTGGAGAAAATGAATGGGTTTTGACATCCAGATCCCAACTGTTGCACTTTAATCAGCAAGACCAAAAAGAGGTCAGCTTATTGGCATATTTCCATACTGAGGGGGAAAACTAATCAAGAGTTAAGATCTAAGAGTGGTGTGTGCCAGCGTGGGGCTTTGCTTTCCCATTTGCATGGGCAGAGATGACTCAAAGCGGAGATAATGTGGCTATTGCAATGCAATGAGGCAAGGATATGGTATGAGACGATCAACTACTGACTGCAACAACCCATATTCCCACATTCCAGCGAAGGCTGGCGGGGAGGGCGAATATGTGTTGGACACACCTCTGCTGGGACCTCTGGTTCTGGTGGGGGTGCAAGCTAATGGAGATAAAAAGTCATGAGTTAGTTCATGCAGATTAGTCTCTGGCATTGATAGAACGTGTTAATGCCCTTGACAACTAGAAACTCATTAATGCAGCATCCATCAGACCCATCAAATATAACCAGCCCGAGAGAACACACTTTTCTACACTGAAGCGTCTGCAGATTGGGAAGGCTGCATATTCATCTATGGCAGTGTAGGGTTGATCGACCTCAGCAGGTCATCCTACATGTAGGGTTCTTATCAAAAAGGGTCATCACAGCGGGAAGACTGGCTAAAATGTGCACACAATTATATTATAACCGATAAAAGGCTTTAAAAATCCATACTCAATCTCAAATGGTTATGTAATGCACTCTCAAGCCGTGACTTGACAGAAAAATATTACTCTGTTAAGTGTTACCAAGTTGGGTGTGGGAAAAAAAAGTTGTTGTTTTTTTGTGTGTGTATGGCTGATTTTCAAAAAGGTATGTGCAACTTGTTTGGTCCTGTCACAACATTCAATCCGCATGGATTTGAGCGGGTAAGTATTTCCACAATCATTGGTGCTTATTTTGCATTAGTAAGACAAGAAAAGACACATGAAATCAAAACGTTAAGTCGTGCAAGAGCAAAAAGGAACGAGTAAAGCAGGCGACATGCACGGACGCAAACAGTTCCTTGTTCGACACATCAGAGACAATGAAGAGGATGACTAGTATGAGAACCGTACTAACAACAACCAAAAAAAAATGACAACTAATTATTTAGATAGCATAACCACTCAATGGCGTTTGCCTTCATGAAAATTGGTTTGCTCTAAAAGGATGCAAAGAGGAAATTTTGAGCATGATGTCTGGAACCATTCTAACACAAAGGAAAAGAGGGGGGTTCTAAATTAGCAACAACCGTGACGCACGCGCATGTTTGTGTGAGTAATACTGCAACCAGTAAGGAATCTCCCTTTTTGCGACATAATTTTTCAGCTGGAAAATAATGCTGCTGCAAAACACAAGGTGTGAATGTGAAATGTCCCTCTCTAGCCACCATAAATGCACGCTTTCATCACATGCTATAAAAACACTTTCTTGTAAATTTCCCCACAAGAAATTGATAAAGCACATCCATTCATCTGCACATCCATCCATCCATCCGGTAATAAACCCAAATTAGATTTAACACTGACTTTTGAAAGAGCTCTTGACAACTTTTTCTTCCAGTGCAAGTCACAAGTTTGTGTGTCACAAGTTTATGGAGTGTGGGGACGAAACAGCTCGCACATTCACTGATGTCACAGCTTTATTCTTTGTGGTGCATGTCAATTGTGAGAAGCTTCGAGGGTTCGTTTCAGTCACTGTCATTGTCGACAAAATGTCATTAACCTGACTGTCATGATGAGCTCAATAGCATAAATGTGTGTCTTAAAGCTTGTGGCCTGAAGGTATCAGGCTCGTTGCCCTCAATTTAGCATTTAAATCTAATAAGATGGAAACTTTCTCAAAAGAACGCAAGGGTTTAGGACGTCGTATGCCCACCCCTCATGCCCAACGGAGGGTCTTTGCCACTGCCAGCGTCTCTTGGTAAACAGCCCGTCGCACTTTTATTGGTGATTATTGCAGAAGGTCACACAACAGTAAAGAGCCTGGATTCCAGGAAAAAAAACGAGGGAAAAAAAAAGAAGGGCAGGTCTTATGTAACCTCTGGTTGCGAGCTGGCGGGAGTCCAGGAATCGTGCTGCACAAAGGCGAGGAAATTGGGACAGCGGCGCGCGCGGGGACGGATGTGCCCACAGCTCCCCCTGATGGACGTCAGGAGACGTGCAGAGGAGGAGCCAGAGATAACAAAGGACACATGAGGACAACAGACACCAACTGACAAACACTGACTATCGGAACTGACTGAATCTACTGACAGAGCAGGAAACAGAGAGAGGGGGAGGGAAAGAGTGAAAGAGAGACATAGCATTAGAGAGATGGGTAAAGGCAATGAAAATATAAACAATAATGAATTTATGAGGAGAGAGAGACAAGGAGACAGAGAAAGAAAGGAAGACTGAATGACAGAAAGAAAGACCATTTAAGGCTGAGAGAGAGAGAGAGAGACAGACAGACATGGTGCAGTTGTGATTGTCTAGCACAGTCCAGGTGAAGGAGACATACACACTGCTCTCTCCATTCACATTACATAAGCTTCCCTGCTCCGCAGCACAGCCGCATCGTCAACCTAAAGCCATATTATCTTCCCCATCCCTCTTACATCACACACACAGACTTACACTCTGTGACAGGAGACACATTCTCTTATGTAATATAAAGACGAACAGAGAGACACAGAGGGAGAGGTTGTATGTTATGAGCAGGGATGGTCATTCCACACATGTGCTGTGAACACGTGTAAGTGTGTATGAGGGCTCAGACTCTAAGGACACAACCTCTCATCACTCATCAAAAAACACCCAACAACATGCAAAATATCCATCAGATTCACAACAGGTGAGTGTATCCTTGTTGCAATGTTAGTTTTAACGTTTATACGAATATAAATTGTATATAAATAAATATATTTAGCTCCGTCGCTAAAGGGGAGAAAGGTATAAAAAACAGGTATTAAAAATATTTTTATCTTATAAAATGAGGGGGGGGGGGGGTCCTACATTCAGAAAAACAAATAACAAAAATATGTTAAAAATTGTGTGTGTGTGTTAAAAAATCGGCATGAGTAAAAATAATTTTCTGTGAAAATCAGCAGCGCCTGACAAATGCTGTCAATACCCTGCATCAAACCCAGAACTTCCCCTAGGAAGATATTTACTCACGAGCGCTCATGTCACCTTATTTATCGAAATGCACCCATCAGCACTTCAGCCTTATCTTTTACTAGTAAGAATGTATTGGAAAAACACCCACAAACACACCCTTTACTGCACTTTTGCACTTCTCCTCCTATACAAATCCAAAGAGGCTCTTGTCATGAGACACACACATATACACAAATAATAATGCCATCAGCTGTGTTATTTTTCTTGTTCAGCCATGTCACTCAACCGCATGCATGTTCAAAAACATTCACACACGTCTTCCTATTATGGGGAGACAGGGTCACATTTCATCCCTGGAACTGATAGAAGAGCAGTGACTAAAAATATAGTATGAACTCCCACCTACCTTCCTGACTTCAACTCAAATAAGCAGAAACATTCATTTTAAACTTTTACATTTACAGATACATTCCCACCTCTCACATAAAAAGAGTCAATGGTAAGCCACCACAAGATCAGTATTACTCATCATTAAAGTGTGTGCATGGCAGAACTGCACTAAATATTTAAAATGAACAGTATACTTAAGAAATTTGAAATTAAAGTTAGAAAATCTCCCATTGACTAAGACACAGTTCGAATATTTACCACTCAAAATCCAATTCAGTGACATAATCGTGATATTTGCATATTAGATTATGATTTATAGGACAAATTGGATTTAAAACAAGAGGGTCAGAATCTTAATTCGAAGGGGAAAAGGTGTATTTTTCTGACCCCATTGCCATATATTTTTCTTGTTTTGAAAAAAAAACAGAGACTTAATATCATAATTTTACATTTTACAAGATTTATTTAGGTAAATCTTGATCTTGATTCAGGAATGTTTAAATATTTGTACTTGAAAACGAGACAAAAAACGAAGTAAAAAAATTAAAAAATTTTGCAGCACGTGTATGCACTGTAAGTTTGGATCCATTTAAAGGGTTAGTTCACCCAAAAATGAAAATTCTGTCATTAATTACTCACCCTCATGTCGTTCCAAACCTGTAAGACCTTCGCTCATCTTCAGAACACAAATTTAAATATTTTTGATGCATTCTGACAGCTCTCTGACCCTCCCATAGACAGCAAGGGTACTACCACGATCAACGTCCAGAAACGTAGCAAGGAGATCGGTAAAATAATCCATGTGACATCAGGGGTTCAACCGTAATATTACGATGCTACAAGAATACTTTGTGCGCAAAAGAAAAAAAAACGACTTTATTCAACAATTTGTCTCCTCCGCGTCACCCTAGCGCCATTTTGTAGAGTATCCACTGAACGCAAACAGCGTATGCTGTTCTGTGTCAGCTGCGCCACGCGGAATTGTTGAATAAAGTCTTTTTTTCTTTTCTTTTGCGCACAAAGTATTCTTGTAGCTTCGTAATATTACGGTTGAACCCCTGATGTCACATGGATTATTTTACCGATCTCCTTGCTACGTTTCTGGACGTTGATCGTGGTAGTACCCTTGCTGTCTATGGGAGGGTCAGAGAGCTGTCAGAAAAAATGCATCAAAAATATCTTAATTTGTGTTCTGAAGATGAACGGAGGTCTTATGGGTTTGGAACGACATGAGGGTGAGTAATTAATGACAGAATTTTCATTTTTGGGTGAACTATCCCTTTAAGAAATCTAATCTGTGGCATTCATACTTCATTTCTAACCAATCCTGCTTTTACCACAACCTCAAAAAGCATTTACGCATTCATATGTGTCAGAGATCCGTCAGAGCGTTTTACAATAGGGTTTGTGAAAGCCATGCTGTTTCTTATTTATGCCTTGATTTTTGTGAACAATCAACTGAAAACTGCCAGCAAAGTGTTTTATTTACTCAGAATTGAAACAAAAAACCTAACCGAAACAAAAAAAAATGTATATCCAAGCACTTCCAGAAAGATGACTCTAATAATCTAATAATATGTGCATTTACTTTCCAAACCTCACATTAAAAGTTCAAATAAAAAATGATTTATAGTGATAATAAACTGTTGAAGTTGCAATTTTATGGCTCGTCAGATGACGAAATCCCAAACTAAGACTGAAAAATTTATTTTAAATGCAGATGAATGAGCCACAATTTCTTACCTGAACTGGGTTTGGCTATATTTCAGCGTAATGTGTTTTTGGCTGGATTAATACCAGCGACTGTGTTATTAAAAACTCTGTAATTAATTGTTCTTCACAGTGCCAATTATATATTGTGAGGTCCCTGTTAACCAGCTACTGTTGTTGTATGTGATTCAGCAGTGAATGTAACAGGAAAGTAAACTGAATTAACGCTACACAGAGGAAGTGTGAGCAAAGTGTGGTGGGCTGATACACTTACACACATTTTCACCAGCACACGCTATCTAAAACAAGGCCAGTGGTAAAAACGCATGCACACGAACACACAATGAAACTATCAGGTGAGGCTAACTGCACGCAACCTCAACACACATGGACAGACAATAAAACGGCCGCTTTGTGGTGAAGTCACGTTGACAAACACCAGCCAAAAAGCTCAAAGGAAAAGAGAACAAGCACTAAGTAGGACGACTACACTGGCGAGTGAGCGCAAAGCCCAACTAAACATAGAAAATAATAAAACCAAAAATAAAAAACAACCTCAGCCACATCCAGCTCATCATCAAAGGCAATTAGCTGGAAGAGAAGAGCATATAGCAAAGTTAGTATTGTGAAGGAAGGAATCAGAGAATGCTCAAAAAATGCCAAACAATGTTCGTTAGTGACATAACACAAGATTATTGTGATTGTTATTCATTAGCGTTAGCTTTCAAAGCATTAGTTGCCAACTACAAAAACGTGTGAACAAATCTTGTCATTTGTAGTTAAAGACATCATGAATTCATGAGTGCAAATAAAATAATAAACTAGAATAATATATACAAATAAAAAATTAAATAAAATATACAAATAAAAAATTTAATAAAATATATTGAATTAAAAAAATTAAAAATTTAAATCAATATAATATCAACTAAAAATGAAAATAAAAGACAATTTAAAAACAAATAAAAAAAAAATCCAAAATAAAATCAAATAAAAGCGATCAACATAAACAATCAAAATAAAATAAAATAAAATATATAATATATAAAAAAATAAATAAAAATGAATCAAAATAAAATAGAAATTAAATCAAGAATAAAATTACATAAAAAAATACAATAAAAATCCAATCAAATAAAACAAATCAGAAACTGGATATAGCCAGAACTTTATAATAAAATCTTGGGCATTCAAATATGCTAGTGACATTAATTGGGCGTTAATTCATTCAGTGCTGGTAAAACCACATTAGAAAAATCTGTATGTTTTATTAAGTGTTAGTAGGACATGAGTCATGAACAGATGCACGTGTGTGTTTGAGTGCAGTTATGTATATAAAAGTATATAGGCTAATAAAAACAGCATGTCAGATGTTTAACATGGTCTTCTAAGCTTGATTTTGGGCAGTACTGTGGAAAGACAGAGTGAAATGTGTCCTGTGAGGCCTGTTTTGCTATTTTTATGAGTAATATGGACAAATATACAGTAACACACACACCGAGGGATTCTTGTAATTTCATCAAGATGTATAATAGTGCTGTAGAAGACAGAAAGGATATTTTTGATTTGTTTTATGCAACTACAGTGTGTATGTTACCTTTTCCCCATAGCCGCGGTCTTTCGTCATCATTTCTCGAAGCGTCTGCAGAACTTTTATACACAAACGCTCCTCGTTCTCCTCTAAAAGCTGTTTAGTGTGTTTTATTAATCTGAAAGAGAAAAACAGTTCGTTTCACAAGTTTATTATAATAATGATAACAACTGATGATGATACAGTATCTATATGCTTTCACTGCAGGGACACATGACATATCACCTTTAAAAAATATATATAAAATAATAATGCCATCAATAATGCAAAATAAAATAAAATAAAAATGCCATCAATAATACCAAATAATAAATAAAATAAAATTTCATTTAATTTAAAATAATAATGCCATCAATAATGCCAAATAATAAATAAAATAAAATTTCATTTAATTTAAAATAATAATGCCATCAATAATACCAAATAACAAATAAAATTTCATTTAATTTAAAATAATAATGCCATCAATAATGCCAAATAATAAATACAATTAAATTAAATTTTATTTAAAATAATAATGCCATCAATAATACCAAATAATAAATACAATTTCATTTAATTTAAAATAATAATGCCATCAATAAAGCCAAATAATAAATAAAATAAAATTTCATTTAATTTAAAATAATAATGCCATCAATAATACCAAATAACAAATAAAATAAAATTTAATTTAAAATAATAATGCCATCAATAATGCCAAATACTAAATACAATTTTATTTTACTTTAAATAATAATGCCATCAATAATACCAAATAATAAATAAAATAAAATGTTATTTAAAATAATAATGCCATCAATAATGCCAAATAATAAATAAAATTTCATTTCATTTCATTTAATTAAGTGCTGGTAAAATATTAGAAATGGAGTGAGGTGATAATGATAAATGTACTCTTTAGCAGATCTAAAAATTTATATTCATCTTTCAAACTTTCAATTAACGTTGCAATGGTTATTATTTATTTAATTTTTTATAATGACCCCACATAACTGCAGAAAGACCGTCCTTATAATAAATATTCTGTAAACCGCTTTTGATAAAAATGCTTGCTAAATGACTTCCCAATGTCAACCTTTTTAAACTAAATAACCCTGACTTGAACTGAAAAAAAAAAAACTGAACTGAGCTGTTAACAGACTGTCATTTTGCTCCCACTGACAGCACAATGGACACTAACATTGTAATGTAACTCCATTCCTGAATCAGCTAATCCTGCATCTCAGGATTATTCCCATAGAAGCCATCACACGCAAACAAACACACAGGTAATCCCTTTTGTAGCTCTGGCAGACTGAGAACAGCCTCTCACAGCACGAGGACAGGTGAAGGACAGTAAGCACTACTGCACCATTGCATAATGCGGCTCGTGAGTGGAAAAAACAGTGATTTATTTTTCATACGTTTCATGTGTGTTTGAAAGGAGTCTCTTATGCTCACCAAAACTGGATTTATTTGATCAAAAATACAATAAAAACACTAATATCGTGATATTTTATTAGAATTAAAAAAAGTTTTTTATTTTAATATATTTTAAAATGTAAGTTATTTCTATGATAGGAATGTTGAATTTTCAGCATCATTACTTCATAGTAATGTCTTCAGTGTCTCCAATGATCCTGTATGTGTTTTAGGGTCACCCAATAAAGCATATTCATGGATGTCACTGGTTCATAACATTAAAAAAAAGAGGAAGACTGTTAGGACAGTTTTGTCCTCTCAGTTCGAGAGGGTTTATGGGAAAATGAAACTCACTTAGAGATGAAGCCTCCGCTCTCGCATTTCTGTCGGGCATCTGTGTTTTCAGGGAAGAGCAGCTCCGGGCGATGCAGTACGTCCACCAACACCGAGAGCTCAGCTTGAACCAGGGGCCGCAGACGATCCTCCAGAGCAGACACGATGTCCTGACAAACACACATCGGAGCACAAACAAAAACAAATTCAGTTATTTTGATCATGCGCAACTGAAGCCCTTCACAGTGACGATATAAGACAATTTTCAAGTATAAGACAAACTATGTTTATATTAGACCACAGGACGTATAAGAAACACTCGCCAAGCAAACTGACATTGACAAGTACATTAATGCAATGGATATGTACTTGTATGGCACATATTATACTTCTCAGAGATACAGAAACTGGCTTTTTTCATATATGATACACTAAGTTTGAGTTGGATTGTTTTTTTATGTCTCTTCTGCTCAACAAGGCTGCATTTATTTTATCAAAAATATTTTTATATATTTAAAAATATAATGTTTTAAATATAATATTATGTATTTAAAAATGTAATATTTTACTGATGGTAAAGCTGAATTTTCTGCATCGTTACACCAGTCTCTAGTGTCACATGGTCCTTCAGAAATCATTCTAATATGCTGATTTGCTGCTCAAGAAATATGTTTTTCATTATCAGTGTTTTTAAAACTATCATATAATGCATCCTGGCTGAATAAAAAAAAACAGTATATATATATATTTTAAATAATCTTACTGACTCTATTAAAACTTTTTTTATTTTTATTGGATGCAATAATATTAACTATTTAATTATATATTTATTTAGTTATTATAACATTGTTTATATTATTAAATATTTAATTTTTATTCCTTTCATGTGTGTAACAAACAGGCGATCATGTCACTTGCAACATCATACATGAACTGAGCGTGTCTCCGTCTCGGTGTAAAAAAACCATCTCATATATTTTCATTGGCACTAGCAGGTGTGGTAAAAAGCCATTTTTGGACCCAGGCCACACATATTCTGAGCACCAAGGGCATGATTTGTTTCCAAAGCAAGGGCTGAAACCAACAGCCCTGAGGCCCATAGCACAGACGTGAGCTGTGCAAACGTGTCTGAATACTCGCCAACTCACGCCACAGCTGAACGAGGGTGGAGACAGACGTGATGAAGCCATGGTTTACCGCAACTCGCTAACTCACCCTTCCCCTCCCCTAGGCTAGATGACACCCCTCCACTGACCTCTATCCTCAGTCTTCTGAGTGGAGTATGAAAGCAGCATTTTAAAACGCATGTTTCTACCCACAACACCACCTTCTGATGTCAAGGTGTCTTTTTTTCAGCATTTCGACATTGTACCTTTGAAAGAAAACAACTGCTGTTCCTCTGTTAAACACAACAGCAGGGACTTCTAGATACCGCTGGAAACAAATCAGCAAGTTGCTGTGTCCGTTTTTATGCTGTCATATGGGCCATTTAACCAAACAGGTGTCATGCATTTAAAACACACACACTTATATATATATATATATATATATATATATGTATGTATGTATGTTTTTTTTTTGTTTTTCTTCTCCGTCATCACGAGGATGTTGTTTTTGGCCTTTCCTTAATCCTGTGCTTTGAATTTCTCACTGTATTATCATTTATATATATATATATACAGTGGGTACGGAAAGTATTCAGACCCCCTTAAATTTTTCACTCTTTGTTATATTGCAGCCATTTGCTAAAATCCTTTAAGTTAATTTTTTTCCGTACCCACTATATATTATATATATATATATTTTTTTTTTTTATACTTCCTGTTGCCCATTTTTAAATAATAATTTTTTATTACTTTTTAATATAATTTATTTCCAAAAGTAATTGTAAATAAAAGCTAGCATTAGCTTTAGCTAGCATTACTATAATATTTTTCACTATGGCAAAAAAAATAAAACAATTAAATACAATAAAAATATGATTATTTTATAAGTTGACTAATTTTTGTTATGTTTGTCAACTTTGTTGCAATGATTTTTTTATAATAAATGAAATGCAAATTAAAATGTAAAATACTACTATACTATAATACTACTTGTAACACTATAATAATATATCAAATAAATTCTCTATAAAATATTTTAATTTAAAGATTAAATTACAAATCATACTTAAATTATTTTTCTAAGAACCTATGAACGTATGACCTTAAGCACAAACATGTTAAATACATTTTTCAAATCAAGTGTTGTTTTTTTCCCTCAATTACAGTTGAATCAATTTAAACTGATAATCCTGTTACCATCAACACTGTTGCCTTTCTGAAGACATTATTTTAAACCAGTATATGCTAAAATGTATTGATTTAGCTCGAGAAGGTGCAGTGCAATTTATTATCACTTAAATGAATATTTATTTGATAGAACATTTACGATCTTGCAGAAATCTTCTCAAACTGAACGAGACACCCGTTTCATTAAATTATCCATATTATGTATGTGTGCGTGTGTGTGTGTGTGTGCGCAGTGTTGGGGAGTAACTAGTTATATGTAACAGAATTACGTAATTTAATTACAAAATAAAAGTAATTGCAATCAGTTACAGTTACAGAGAAAAAATGTGTAATTAAATTACAGTTACTTATGAAAATGTTAAGGATTACAAAGGGAGTTACATCTACTTTTTTCACACACATTCCCACATACAGATTTAATTGATTTCTTTCATAAATTGCAGTGACTGCTCTAAAATATGAAACACTAATGTTTCAGGATTTTAGAACATGCTTATTTGATCATTCTTTTACTTCCTATATGGGTTTATGTATAGCTATGCTTAATTTTTTTAAAGGGGGTCATATGATGTTGCTAAAAAAAGAACATTATTTTGTGTATTTGGTGTAATGAAATGTTTATGCAGTTTAAGGTTAAAAAAACACATTATTTTCCACATACTGAACATTATTGTTTCTCCTCTATGCTCCGCCTTCTTGAAACGCATTGATTTTTACAAAGCTCATCGGTCTGAAAAGCGAGGTGTGCTGTGATTGGTCAGCTATCCAGGCTAAAAAGAACATTATTTTGTGTATTTGGTGTAATGAAATGTTTATGTGATGTGAATGTGAATGTGAATGTGAATGTGATGTGAATGTGAATGTGAATGTGAATAATGTGTGAAGTGACGTGTGGCCAAGTATGGTGACCCATACTCGGAATTAGTGCTCTGCATTTACCCATCCAAAGTGCAACACACACCCGGAAGCAGTGGGTGTTCACATTATGCAGTTTAAGGTTCATTATGCAGTTTAAGGTTCAAAAAACACATTATTTTCCACATACTGTACATTATTGTTTCTCCTCTATGCTCCGCCTTCTTGAAACGCATTGATTATTACAAAGCTCATCGGTCTGAAAAGCGAGGTGTGCTGTGATTGGTCAGCTATCCAGTGCGTTGTGATTGGCTGAATACCTCAAGCGTGTGACGGAAATGTTATGCCCCTTACCATACAGTGATGCCATGTCGCGGCGCAACGAGACAAAACCAATAAAACTCATTATAAACAAGGCATTTGTTGCATCCAGTGGGGACATAATTACTGATTATAATTACATATACTGTCTTTTTACGCGTTGTGTTGCATCACATCTGAATATTTGGGTTGAACTGTTCTGGAACAGTGTTGTAATTACAACTTAACCACTGATTTCTAGTTGTGTCCTCTTTTGGAAGGCCAAACAAAGTAGTTTCGCTTTCACAACGAAACACACAGCGTCTCCACGACATGACGGCGGCGGCAAGAATACTACAGTGAGAATCAAAGTTAAGCCTTCTTTCTTTGCGTATACATTTGGGCGATGTTATGCAAATCTTCCCACACAGTGACGTAGACATGTGTGGGGGCATGTCTGACCCTCTAAGCGCCAAAGTCGCAAAATTGCGATAAGACGTCATACTTAATCAAATAGACTGTAGTTCCTAATATGGTGTAATATCTCATTTGTATTCCCTACCACTAGATGGCAGACATGTAGTACTTCGATTCTAGACCAAAATGACGTCATGTTCCTATTCAAAGTGTTCGAGCAAATAGCAGAGCAAGTGAGCTATTGTGTCACTGATGCGGAAGCAGTTCATTTCAGAGCGTCTGAGTAAATTGTGAGATTTGTGAGAGAAAATCGCCAAATGGCTAATAAAAAGTTGTACCGTGAGGCTACTGTTCACATGTGTTTTACTACTATATAGTATTGTAATATAGTAATAATTTAGTACTTTCTCCTATTTTATTGTTGGTTTCCTCTTTTCTGATCATTTGGAATGAAGATAAAAAGACAAAAAACAAACAAACATGTAAATAAGTTCAAACATCCATTCAATATCTACTATTTCCTGAATATTACTGATTAACTGATCAAAAAGTAGGCTACTGTTCACATGCGTTTTACTACTATATAGTATAGTAATAATTTAGTACTTTCTCCTGTTTTATTGTTGGTTTCCTCTTTTCTGATCATTTGGAATGAGGATAAAAAGACAAAAAAAACATGCAAATAAGTACTATTTTCTGAATATTATTAAATTCAAGATGGCCACCCCGGGTGACGTCATAATATGCAAATTATATGAGTATATTTACACCCCACATAAACTTTTGGTCATGCCCAACATTTTTCTAATTCACAGTAGATCTCCATCTTTAAGCCCTTTCAAGCCACAAGCTTTTGAAATCTTGATGTCAAAATCCAGCATTTTTCCAAAAATCGCTGGATAAGTTCAAACATCAATTCAATATCTACTATTTTCTGAATATTATTAAAGTCAAGATGGCCACCCCGGGTGACGCCATAATATGCAAATTATATGAGTATATTTACACCCCACATAAACTTTTGGTCATGCCCAACATTTTTCTAATTCACAGTAGATCTCTATCTTTAAGCCCTTTCAAGCCACAAGCTTTTGAAATCTTGATGTCAAA